GGGAATAAAATGCGAGCAGAGAGATTAACAGCCGCCAACCATGCTTGCGTCTCACGCGTTCCCACGCTTGCTATTTAAACAATCTCGCTGGATTCCACACAACAATCTGGGGTGCAGCAGCTCCGCTGAGAATGCTGGCTGCGTCTGCGTTTGTGTTCTATATTCCAGCTACGGCGTAGAAATGTCTACCACGAACGATCGCGTGTGGTTATCATTGTCGCCTACGGACAACGCCCAATAAAAATTTACAATCAGTAGGTCGATATATTTGCGCCGAACTTTAGCTAAACATGAGACGGCGTTTTCCTCCGCTTAGTATGAGAGTACTTGTCGATGTACTCGATTCATGTTATGTCGTATGCACAAGGTAAAACCGTCTTGAATCTTGATCACCACTGCCAGGCAGCGATGGTTAGCGATCGATTCAGGCACTCACATCGCGATCGAATTTTCAGAACACTGCAATCGATTTATTGTGTCGTAATCGTTATACGACGGGTTCTGTCAACAATTGTTTGTAAACAGCATACATGTTTTGACGATGTTATATTTTTTAGCCTCGGGGTTGCGTGCCTTTTTTAAACGCCCTGTCTGGCGACACAATTCTTATATTAAAAGTTTTAGGTGCGGTTTCAAAAAGACTTGCGCGTTCGCTATTGACGCGAATTGAAGCGTTTTTGCACCGGTAGAGGCGTCATGCAGCAGGCATGCAGAGACCTCAGATAGAGAAAAATTCTGCGCCGCGGAATAAGTTAAGTGATGAACAGACAACGAATTTAAAAATACCCAGAGAGATTTGGCACATAGCACAACATTCACATAATTCATGCTAAATAACTGCAGATTTTAAGGACCAATTGATGTAGCCCAGGGCCGTATAGGCTGAGCAAAATCTTAGGTTTGGCGCATCCAGGATTGGATCCATGTGGTCCTCCCACAGAAAAGTTTTGAAAATGTAGATAGCAGGAGATGGTTTTGAGGCACTTTTGGTGCATGTAAGCCTTCATTCTGACTAGGACAATTCTCTTTTAGTAAACAATTTAATTGTTTAAATTAATTGCTCTACAAATCCTAGGGGGGCAGACTGCCGCCCAGCCGCCTGCCCCCCCCCCGCAGGTCGCCCTGTAGGTGGTTGCATCGACCCACGTGCTTGGTGGTGTGAAATACCATAAAGAGTATATATATAACAGAATAATTTATCACGTCGCTGGGGAAGAAGTCTTGAATGTCAGTTGACGAGGGACTTAGTCATTCTTTAGCGCTGAATATGTATATGTACATTGAAGCTGTATATGTGCGTATTTAATAAAACCTTCAAGTGGAGTAGTTTTTAATTTAACTGTTTTTGTTACACATAGCCAGGCGCTGGCTGTCTATGCGCATGCCACCGACTTCCACCCACATCGCTTGCTACTACGCGAGCAAATGATTTAGACTTTGGTTCGACATGCCACACAGGCACATTGGAGCGTTTCAATAAAATATGAATGCCTAAATAAACACGAAATCGATTTACTACCAACAGTCTTAATGTATCTCTAGACCTACTCGCTTTCACCTATAATATTGGCGACAATTTCCTGTAATGCCGTCCAAATGCTAACTGCAACGCACGCTGGCGCCGCACGCTAGCGGGCTGGCGCACACTGCATGACACATAATACTATAGTTTTGGTGTTGGGAAAATTAGCTTATATTTACCCGCTTTCGCGACTGAACGATGTTGCGTCTTCCATTAAACATTGGAATGCGTTTTTCTGTAAAATTAAATAATTCCGAAAATCCGCTAACCGCGCTACGCGAAGGTAGCCAAATGAACGTAGCTGTGTGTGGTGAGTGTGTTGGTTGGTGTGTGTGTGTGGTGTTGTGTGGTGGGCCATATGGTGGTGTGGGTTGTGTGTGGTGTGTGGTGTGTGTCCTAATGGTGTGACGCTTGCCCGCCCACTTTAATGCGTTGGCTTAGGGGCCTCGAAATGGATATCGGAGGCCAGGACCTCGCAGACACGCGTGTTTGTTACCTCTGCGCAAACGGAGCGTATGCAATCGCTCGGCGCGGGCGCGCGCCGCGCGCCGAGCGTGTGTGTTGTGTGTGCTGGTGTGTGTGTGTTGTGTGTAGCCCACCTCCGATGATAGCGCTCGAGTTCAGCAGTGGGAGTCAGTAGCAGCCAACCAGTGAGCGCGCGAGTCAGTCAGCAGCCGCCACCAGCGACACATACATGTTACATGCTCGCGGAGGTATGCACTCTCAGTTGAGCCTGCCCGCTGTCTAGTTACATATAGCTTTGTTTCAACATCAAGGATGGCGGATGTCGGAGTCTGCGATGATAACTCGTAATTCTCAGCATTTCTTAGGTGCATGCGAACATTTTCCAATTTAGTGGTGTCAGTTTTAGTCACCGATATGGTCAAGTAAGTCTAACCGTTTATGTTTCGACATACGTTCACCTATTTTGCACACAGGCGTCGATCATTGTGAAAATTGGTGTGAAGATTTATTTTTTTTTATTGAAGACGGTTCCAAGTGCTGTGCTCTTCATTCAGTCGTTGTACGTCATGCACGTGCGTCAACTTCTGTCCACTGAACTCTGCAGTGGAATTGGTAATTCATATAACTGTCAGTAATGCGAATAGCCTAATACCCATTCACCCCAGGCTGCTTCCGGGGTTCATTAGCCAATACTTTCATGGCAGTGTTGGTATAAGTCTGTTGTGCGTGTGGATATGTTATAAAGAATTAACATGCCTGTTTTATTCCCCAGACACTTCGGAAGGTATTAATAATAAATTGATGCGTAAATAAACACGAACATGTCTTACTACCAAAGGTAAGTCTTAATATTTAACTATTTTCCTTTGCGCCTTTATTAGTAACGCTGAGAGGGTCTAGTCCCCCAGGTCTGCCGGAACGTACCCTGGTACTACAATACTTACTATCTAATATTGCCGAGACCGTACCTTCGCCTACTCTATAACGATCTAGGGAGTCGCTACGCCTACTCCTAACCCTAACCCTAAACACTACCCTTAACCCTAACCCTAACCATATCAGCTAGATAGTTAACCAGGTCACGTTCGGGATACCGCGACCGTACCCAGGCATCGTTTCCGGCAGTACCCTTAGGGACGTTAGACCTATGCCGCATTAGAACAGTTCCCGTAAATGCCAGTTCAGACGCCTCCTCGCCAACAAATGTCACCGCACGCCCACCAAGTGCCATAAAACTCACATAATCTTTTGCCGTGCTGAGTTTGCTGGCACTTAATTTACGTAGAATTATGACGTCCTATAGAAGATACATAAACATTGAGACAGTTTGGTAGTAAATATTTACCATCATTTTATTGTTGAAACGTTTCCAAGTGTTTGCGCGTTTATTCTGGACAGGCTGGGATCGTCCTAGCGCATTGCGCATGATTTACGTATAGAAACGGTGTTCCCTGTAAGATTTCGTGATTCACGATTATGCAGCGGTTCGCTATGGCGGCAACCAGGTATTTAACACGCCTAATCTACTGCAAGGTCGGGTTTTACATGAGCAGGCGCAGTATGAGCGGTGCGATATAGCCGTGAGGATTCGCTACGGCGCAACACAGCGCGGCATTTCTAATTTTTTCACGAGTAATATTTGAATTGGAATACTCGTGGGAACTAATGGACCCACGAACGACGCGGGGTAACCATATTTGGCTTCGATAAAAATAGCACATAATATATGTAAGAATCCGTCCTTATTCTAGTTATTAATATTTTGATTAAGTTGTTTTTAATACATTACGCATGTAATCAGTTATAACAATTGTTATTAGCAGTAATTCAATCAATCAACATTTACATTCATTATAATGGCAAGAGACTTTAATAAGTATTTCCGAAAGCGAGCATTATATATTATCATATTGTGAAAACAATAAAATTACTAACAACAATTATTAAAAAGTGGCGAAACCGTGCCAACATACCATACATATAGGAAAGCAGAATTTAAATCATTTTTATTAAAACACGTAGGTATTATCATACATAGGTATGCGATAACGGTATAGCTTCTACGGATACATTTAGAATTCTTAGGCATGTATTTGGCTAATTAAACGTTGCTATCTAAATAAGACACTCCTACTGCTTATCGTCAGTCAAACCCTCTCGCAATCCATGGTCTTACTTTGCTTTTTAACCTCGAGGTATTTCATGAAGCTGATTAAGAGTTCTATGCACAAGCAGCATCCGCCGACAAGCACACCGAGCAGTAGGAAGGTAAACAGGTTCTGTAGGTACGGCAGCAGTATCACGTTCGCTGACACAGATATCTGCTCTCGCAAACACCCAGGCACCTTAAGCATGTCATCCGTCCATTTCTGCAGGATGCCACTCTGATGTAGTATGGTGATTCCGTCGTTCAGCCGCTCATAGTACGGGTCACCGTACGCAAGCACGCACGTAGTGCTAGTCGGTAGTACAGTGATCGGCACCATCGCTAGTCTACATTCCCCCGAGCGCCTGTAGTCTCTCTGTGCGTGCAATGTTCCATACCAATCACCGTCGACAAATAGCGTGTATTTCCCAGTGAGGACTCGGTCTATAGCCTCATCTGTACTGTGGACCACCGCGTCGGGGTCGGCAAGCACCTTCTTCCACATCTTCCCCAGGTCTGACTCTGGTGGGCTTCCCTTGAGTAGGGCTTCGTCTATGAACCCGGGTACGATGGTAGGCGTGATCGGATAGTTGGCAGCTTCGTGCAGGGACGTGAACGGGTAGGCCACCTCTGTGTCCACGGAGAGGAAACTCACGAGACTACCCGTGTACGTGCCGAGGATCACGATTACAAACGTCCACCAAGAGAACCGCAGTGTGCGATCGGCAATTCTGCCGCTAACCCAGGTTCCGCCTTGGTTGGTAAGCGTGCCGAAAACGTAGACGGCAGCAGAGCTAAGTCCATGCCAGATGCATCGTGGGCTGTCGGCGGACAGGCTCAGGTATTTCAGCACGGGCAGCAGAACAGTAATGACAAGACTGCACGCGACAATGAGAACCCACGTCAAGGTCGTGAAGGGCACGAAGATGTTCAGTTTCGTCTGCGTTTTCTTCTCCGGGAATTTGATGAGCAGAACGTAGTAGCTCTGTAAGATCGGCTGCAGAAATCTCAGCAGCTTCGCTCGCTCCGGATGCATGCTCATGTCGCACGCCATGTCCATGCGGCCGGCTTCAACCTCAGCTACGACCTTACTGAAGCCGCCGCTACAGAAGGGAATCGCCGAGTACGTGAAGTTGTAATACGCTCCCAGCTCGCGTAGGATGTTCCGGTATATGTTCGATATCTCCGTGTTAACTGTCGAGCAATTGACGAAGCCAACTTTCAGTTCGACTCCGTGAAAATCAGGCGCCACTCGTGTTTTACGTATCGGAAAGTTTTCTTGTATTTCTCTCCCTGATGAAGTCTTACGGCATTGAAATCCAGGCTGTGCAGCGCTTTCAGCAATGTTCATCAAGTCGGCATTCAGATTCTTAGAAGCTATGAACCTCTCCATCGCGAACGAATGGGAATTAAATGCGAGCAGGAGAATTAACAGCCGCACCATGCTTGCGTTCACGCGCTCCCACGCTGCTATTAAACAACTGCTGGATTCCACAACAAGTCTGTGCAGCAGCTCAGCTGAGAATGCTGCTGCGTCTGCGTTTGTGTCTATTTTCAGCTACGGCTAGAAATGTCTACACGAACGATCGCGTCTGTTATCGTTGTCACCTACGACAACGCAATCAAAAATTTACAATCAGTAGTCGATATTTTGCGCCGAACTTTAGCTAAACAGTGAGACGGCGGTTTTCCTCCGCTTAGTTGAGAGTACTTGTCGATGTACTCTGTATTCATGTATGTCGTATGCACAAATAAAACCGTTTGAATCTTGTCACCACTCAGGCAGCGATGGGTTAGCGATCGATTCAGCCTTTCAAGCACCCCATTCGCGAGCGCAGAATTTCAGAACACCTGCAATCGATTTTTGTGTCGTAATCGTAAGACGGGTTCTGTCAAACAATGTTTGTAAACACATACATGTTTTGAACGATGTTATATTTTTAGCCTCGGGGTTGCGTGCCTTTTAAACGCCCTGTCTGCGACACAATTCCTTATTTAAAGGTTTTAGGGCGTTCAAAAAATGGCGCGTTCGCTATTGGCGATTAGAAGCGTTTTGCACCGGTAGAGGGCGTCCATAGGCAGCAGGCATCAGAGCCTTCAGGGGCCGTGCCAGAAAACTTCGTTAAAGTTACGATTAATTTTAAGTCTTATGCTTAATGTTAAGCGTTAATTTTTAATAGCGTCCCAGAAACACTAAACTAAACTTACTTAAGTGAAAACGTAACGATACACAGGAACTCTCTAGCACAAGCTGTTGATTGGATGGTGAATCACTGATCTCTACGATTCTAATGGATAGCTCTTAGCCATCAAATGTGAACGCCACCTCGACGCCACCTGCTCGCACTTGGCAACCACTCCTCAAGCTGAATCTGCCGCGTCTGTGCCCCGACAACATTTTCAAATAAAAATAAGAAAATGCGACTTATTCATTATTTTAAATTAGCATGAAAAAACTTTTGATCAATACTAAGAGATTTATATAAATAATGGATATGTATATTATCTAGATATATACAGCTAAGAATGAAGAGAAATGCACGATATAATAGTTTTTGCACATGACGTCCAACGGAGTCCCGTGCCTAGCTACTCGCAGCCATTCTAACAATAATAATTCTTTTTACCAGTCAAATCCACTAATACCTGCATATGAAAAACACTTTCATCACCATAGGCCTACGCTTCAACGCCAGCAGAGAGATGCCAACATGTGCACGATGCAATTGTCGAATAGGCAACGAAAGGATTGCTGGAAAATCGTTTCATTCTGTTATTGTCTTATATTCTAATACTTGTGCCCTACCATTGCGTGTTTTACTTAAATGAGCAAACACGAGTTTGAACTAGGCGAAGTTCTACGTCATCGGTATACCGTCGCCGATTATTTTCTCGTTAAAGTCACGGGTAGCTGACGTATGACGCCTGATTGGGATTGAGCTTCGTTTTTCTCCGCGATATTACAATACACATCCAAAATTATTAGAACTTCAATATGTGCAGCTCAGTGGCAACGGTTTAGAGCGGCTTGCGCCAAGTATGAAATGGTCGTTGGGATCGCGAATCCACTCACGTTTCTAATTTATTTTCCTGTTTTCTGTATTTTTTCCTTTATCTGTTATAACATTTTTTTTTCCAATTAAGCATAAATTTACATTATATTTACAACATTAAATAAAGACAATTAATTTTTACACAATTAAAAATTTATTTATTAATAATTAATAGAATC